TTCAAGCTGCAGAACCTTCCAAGATATTCTGCGGAGTTTGTTGTATTTTCCCCATTTCTATATTTAAAACAAATTTCCTACCCATCCACCCGCTCCTTGAATTCAGGGAAACACAAATAACTCATAAGCTTTCACTAAAATGAGTTTGTTTTGCTTTTGTGCCTAATATTGCTTTTGAAATTGTTCAGCAGTAAAGAAAAGAAAAAGCTGCTGGTATTAGTTTTAAACAGCCACCACAAACATATTGTCCTCTTATTTATTCTAGGTTTTATTTCAGCCAAAATCAAGCTTGCAGTGTTATTCTAGAGCCGTTGGATGACATACGAAATCACAACCCCCAAAATATGCACTATGTGTTTATGATGGATTTTATATACTCACACATACACACACACACATTATGTATATATTAAATAAAAATATGAAATAGACTCATTACAAAAGGAACCCTTGAGGAATATGAAAACTAAGAATTCTGACTTGGATCTTCTTAAGATAGGTCCATTTTACAGACAGGGAAATTGAGATGAGCACTCATCCACAAGATTACCTGTCAATGAGCAACAAAATCCACTAGTAAGACTGGGAGCTTTTAACTCAGGAAACTTACATTAGTATCATCATCCCAAGAAGCAGTATCCAGGCTGTTTTGTCAAAAGTGTGCATGGGAGGTAAGGGCTGGGAAAGATATCTGGAAATTAAATCTGAGGGATGCCTCTTCTCGAGGAGCTAGGGAAAAATAACCATGCTCAAGTATGTTCCTCTTTGAACAGAAACCCCTTTCTAAGGCACAGCCGGTGCTGGCTCTGAAGAAATAGTATAGACTATTTCAGCTCTCTCAGCTGGGAAGTATGTTTGGGAGAGCATCTTCCTAGCTGCAATAATAAACAGCTCCAGCTGCAAGAGCCTTGCTAAACAAGCCTGAGCAAAACCGTCCAGATTCTTTTCTTTTGACCATCTTAGATTTCCCCTGCAAGAGGCAAGGCAGGGAGCCGGCCCTGGAAATGTCCCCCTAGCCCTGCCCTGTGCAGCCCTGCACTTCCCCAGGAACACATGCCCTCCCCCAGCCCGCCTCCTCACTTTTGTTTTATTTACGAATATGTTGCCAGAATTCCAATGAGTTATCTATTCTGTGGCCCCGTCATTTTCCCACCGAGGCCTTGTCGCCGGCTGACTCAGGGTCCAGTCGCAACAGTGAGAAGAAAAGAAGAGAGCAAAAGAATTCTTTTCAACTTTTTTTTTTATGTTTCACTCACTTCTCTCTCTGTCTCACCCAGGCCTCCTCCCCTCTCCTGCTCCATCCTTTCCCCCTGTTCCCCAGCCTCCTAGACTCTCCTTTACCTCCTTTATGTTACAGGATCGCTCAAATTGAAGCTCAGGAGGGTCCTATAGGGAATGCATAGGAACCCTGGGAGAAAAAAGCCCCCAACAAGCTATACACCAGATGTATAACGTTATATGGTCAAACTGGCAAACACAAAAGCTGAAAAACAAAAGGCGAGAATTAGGGAGAGGCATTCAAAGGCGTGTTTTCAAAACAGCCCAGCCAAGAGCCTGGATCCCCCTCCTGAGACTAAATGCTTGAAAGAAAAGGTGCTAAAGAAAGAAAGGAAAAGAAAAAAAAAGCCCATTTTTTCTAATTAGCTGAGGCCTAACAGGCACTGAATTTCGCAACTAGTTTTCATCAAGGGGGTTGTGGCTTGTGAAACTGAAAAAAGATGCTTTTGAAACCTGTGATGTAGGCCCTTTCTCGGACCAAAGCTAGTCTCTATCCTTGGACTTTTTTCTCCCCCTCGCTTTTTGGGTTCTGCCTTGCTTCATATCTTGATCCCTTTTTTGCATCCTCCTCCCCGAAAAGTACAAATATTATCTGGGCTTAAAAAGAGGGCAGGATGGAAAGCAACAATGGCCCTCCCCGCCCGTCTTTCTGTCTCTCATGCAGGGGGTTTTCCTTGCCAGCCAGAGTCCTGAGTCCCTAGGAATCTCATTCCAAAGCTCCGCACCAAAGGGTAGGGGAAAAGGGAAAGGTGTCACTGCAGGGTGTGTGTGTGTGTGTGTGTGTGTGTGTGTGTGTGTGTGTGTGTGTGTGTTCGTTCTGTAAATGCTGGAATTAAAATTAAAAATCCTCCACCACTGTGATTTTAGGTATTTGGAGGATGGTTTCTCGCTGAGCATTTTTTCAAATGCAACAAGGCAGTGATTCCAGGCAGCAAGGTATATTCCCAGAGCAAAACGGTTTTGCTCCTCCTGCGCCTTCAGAAAGGACGCACACAAGCAATCTGAAATTTTAAAATTTCAAATTAAAGCATATCAAAGGTTGTTACAACCAGAGCGTCACTGGTCCTCTGCTGCATGAACAAATCATGAACTTGCATTCTTTAATCACATTTCTAATAGGAAAACAAAGCCGAACTCGTGGGGGAGAGTTGGTGGGCCGCCTGCATTTGGAAGGGAGGCAACTTTAATTGCTGCGCTGTCTGGCTCGGATCCCTGTGGTCCTGCGTGGTGTGTTTTAGTAACAAACACTTGTTCTAATGAATTGGCCTTATTAGGGGGCTCCTCATATTCTTTTATAAAGAGCAGAGCTATTCTGAACTTCTGAATGCAACAGTCTCTTGATATTCTCACACTGAAGGCTGTAGTGTGGGATTGCATTCCCTCTCCTGTATTTTCATAAGGCTCATATTTTTTAACGGCAGAAGAGTGAGCAGTGGTAGAAAGATAAGAAAACTACAGAGCTTGCAGTTACCTGCCATACAGGAGGACCAGAGCCATCAAAGAGGCTTGCAAAATTATTATGCTAAAAATGTATTTGCGTTCATAGCTGAACAATTCAGATTTTAATTCAGTCACCTTCTGGCACATTTTTTTTTTAACTCGTGGCAATGTATAAAACAGATTCATTAGCTTTGATTAACCTTCTTTATCTAGAGTTAAAACCCTGCTGTAGGCTGCTCAGCTACCAATGCAGCCTTTAAGATACTTTATCATGTTTAAGACCCAATTACTGTTGGACTGAATAAGAATAAAACTCACAATAAAATGTGGTACAAACAGCAAACAGCAACTCTAACGCACACAGCAAATAATCATTAATTTACAACAGCAACTTTCCCATTTTGATGTTTTTTTTCTTGATGGTGCACTTAATTCAAGTTGAATACCTTGGAATTTCATGCTGATATGAGAAACTAGCTCCCCAGCTGTATTGACTGTTGGCCTTTTTTTTTTTTTTTTCTGTCTTCTAGCTTTAGTTTGGAGACTCAAAAGACTCTTTTAAAATTTTCCAAGTAAAATAAAAAAGGGAAACTAAAGTCAGAACAGGGTCTGCAGAACTAGGTTTATAAAAGAGAAAGGAGGGGGAGAGAGAGAGAGAGAGGAGAGAGAAAGAAAATAGAGGGAGGATTTAAATGGTTGAAACTAGAATTTTAGATCAATTTCTTATTAATAATTAGAAATACTTCTAGTTAGAAGTTTCAAATATTAAAGAAACACAGCCCAGTAAAGTCAGCATTGAGTTAATTCAAGGAATTATCTACATGATATGCAAACTTCTTAAGAGAGCTATGGTGAGGTTTATTTTGTGCATCTTGCAAGAAAAGGGAGCCTGAGAAGAACTCCAGCACACAATGAGTTAATTTTGGACAGGAGTTGACTGAACAGGGAATAATGAACAGTGAGATACTGCAGCTTTCAGGCAAAACAGAGTAACAACAATTAAAAAGAGAGAGAGGATAAAGGGAGAAAACAATCTCCAGTCAGTTAACTAACAAGAACAGCCCAGTGTTTGAAACAGATAAAACAGAGGCCACCAGGAAAGCTGCTGCTGTTGCCGCTGCTGCTGTGGCTTGCTTTATGCTTGGGTGTGGAGAGCATTACAACATTTGTGAGCCAACTGTTTGTGGGTTTCTTCTCATCTGCTTTAAAATATTTGGTTTTGCCATATTTCCATAATAACCACAACCACACTCTCCTCTCCAAACCACCCCCCCCAACAACAGATGTGTGTTCTAAAAGGAAATAGAGACACTGATATAATCAGACACTAGTTAGAGTGCTTTCATACTAAATTCTCCAGCAAATTCACAACAACAAAAAACTCTCAACCACTGATGGAATTAATCTAAGATCCTTGATTATTTGAAGTTCTAAAAGTTTTCATTTTGCATTTTGTTTTTGAATGTATAGCGCTTTATTTATCAAACTGCCACATAATTTTCCCTTCAGTTTGAGGCTGTGATTGTGAAACAAATAAATTGAAGCCTAAGGGACTCTTCTCTCCAAATTTAGTTCCATTATCACTTTAAGAATGCACACTACTTGATGATACAAAAGGGATGTATGTAGCTGGTTATTTAGTTGCTCACTCAGCAATATGTTGATGAACACAGCACTCCCCAAACTCCTTTTCAGGGTTGTGCTATCATTGGAAGTCTCTGTGTATATTTGTGTACCTAGGTGTATGTGTGTGCAAATATCAGATATTAAATGGCAGCAAGATCTCTTCTAAATATTTAGGATTTACAATTTTAAAGAGAGAAAAGAAGAAAGTTTTGCAGAAACTTAAATTAGAAAAACACTTAAAATAAGTGCACACTTTAAACTAAGCTAGAATGGGGATAGTAGTGATTTTTCAAATATCATATCAATTATACGCCCTCTCCATAGCTATGATTTTCTTGTATGTATTGATGTGCACTCACTTAAAGTATATTATGTGTTCTACACCACATTAGATATTCTAGAGCATAAAAGAACCTCAAATGCATTTGGTTGTTTTCTATACTAAGTGATTTTGTTCTTTACAGAAAGTCATTTGGCCACAGTGCAATAGCCCGTAACTGTGTTTGACTGGGAGAAGTTTATTTAATCTTCTTCCTCTGCACATACTTTTAGAACATGTCCATCCAACAAAATTGTAGTTGGAGGAGAAAAGTAGAATTGTGAATTTAAAAAAATACTCATGATGATTATCTTTTTGTCTTCCTGCCTCTATATAGAAGCTGGAACCACTTAACCCCAAACTACAGGACCAGCCCTGACATGATTGGAACTCATCTTGACCTTGGGTAAGGGGAATTCAGGGAGCTGTAGACCAGCAGTTCATCAGCCAAGCATGAAGTTCCCTTGGCTGCTGGACAAACTCTATTCTCATTAATTCTAGAGGCTGGGTTCAAGGTTGATTTCATAGGACAAGGCTTTAACTCCCAGTCTAGTTTAATGTGCTTCATCCTTTCCATGTGCCCAAGTACAACTCCTTGTCTTATTTTCCTGTATATGGAAATAGTTCTTAAGCCTGTTTTGAGCACCCTACAACATGTTCTCTTAGAATCCATTTCTAGGGCTCAAGACTGTAGTTTCATGGGATCTATTGTGTTTGCCAGATGCCTTCCATCTTGGATCTCTACCCATGTCTGTTGCTAGACAGCCGTGGAGCCCTATTTTACATTGTTGCTTAGTTATCTACCAGTCAGCTATTCTTGGACTTTCTATAAGTTTAAGCTTTTTAAATATCAGCCCCTGGTGGTTGGTCAAAACTCCAGGCTCTGGAGAGTTCTGCTCTAGCAGATCTCTCTCATAAGCTTTTGAACAAGGCAGAGATCCTAGCACAAGGAGTAAAGAAAGATGAAAAGAAAACAACAATACTATAATCAAGATAATTAGGATCTTCAATAGGCTTCCTTACACACATCCCTTGGCTTTATTACCTTATATTAATAATGTCTCCTAAGTTCTTGAGTTTTTTGGAACTATCCAGTCTCTACTTGTAATGCCAGCCATAAAGTGTCTACCAAAGCCATGGGAATTTTGTCTCCAGCTTTCCAGTCTACTCCCAAAGCTAGCCTGGCAAAATCGTTTTGTAACATCGAACCCAACAAGGAACATCAATGAACTTTATATCAATTCAGCAGTCATTTGCAACAGTCAATGACAGAGGTAAGCTGGCTAATTTCTAAAGGAGGTATCCCCCTAGTCTGATATGTGGACATTTGGAGGAGTAGTGAGAGCCTTTTCTTGAGGGTCCTTTTTATACTGCAAAGAAGCAGAGCCCACAGCATGTGCTCCATGAATCAGACCATGCCAGGTTCCTCTGCATTCCTAATGTGGTAAAGAACAGGAAGCTTCACAGCAAGTTATTATCTTAGAAGACCCACCTGGATGGTATCAGTTTTCACTGCCAGACTCTCCTAATAATTGACCTTTGACACATATTCAGGTGTCATCTTAGATCATAAGCAGCTAAGTAGCAATAGGAACAGTGATTTGAATAGCAGCCCTTTGCAAATTTCCATCTTAAAACTTTTAAATGAATGGTTCTTAAGCCTGACTGCAATCAGAATCATTTGGGAAACTTAAAAATTAAATTAAAAACAAAACAGATGCCCAAGTGTAACCCACTAAACTGTTGAGTTCAATTAGTCTGATGTGAGGGTGCACATGACACCTTGATTAGGAGAGGTTCAGGGATTGTTAATATTCCACCAGGACAGAAGACACTACCTCTTCAGACAGGTGAATACCAACACAACCATTGCTCAACTGAGCAATGAGAAACCCAAAAGGAGTATATACTTCCGTCTCTACCCAAGCTGTTTCTCATGCCTGTAAGATCAGCACTTTCTTCACTGATCAGCTGATAGAAGATATCATAGCCTCACCTACTGTAAGTCACACCCATCTCTGAGGACCTAAGCTATATTATTAAGGCACAGGTACAAGTCTTTGGGCTTTCAAGGCCAAGTTCCCTTAAGTCCCAACTAACCCTTGCTAACTACCTCTCTGATTTATGGAAACCAGGCTCTTCCTTTGCTGAACACTGGAAGCCTAACGTATTCATGATGAACCACTGAAACCCACCCTGGCTCCTCTCTTTTTATTGTCTGCTTCTGTTCTTTGAGATGCTGCTGAAACTTACTGCTGTGAAAACTGCTAGTAATTGGTCACAGTTAGATTAAGGAAACCCTTCAGGTAGCCTGAAGGTCAAAAAACTACTTTCCATGCCAAGATCCTCCCAATGACAGCATCCTCTCTTCCTTCTTCTCTGCTCCCAGTTTCAGCTCCAGTCTGTTGGAAGCTTGACTTCTATGTCCTGGAAAGCCAGAAGCCACTAAAGGATTTATCACACATCAGTTCAGAGAAATAGAAGTGAAATCTTCTAGGAATGAGAAAAATTTACACCAATTAGCTCTTCTCCCTTCCTCTGCCCATTTTTTTTCTTTGATGATGTTATGAATGCCTTGCACAGTAGTTGAAGTAGCCTTATGCTTGCTGGCTTGTAACCTGTTTACAGAATGCTGGAGATTTCTAATAAATTTATGGGCCCTGACAATATCCAATACTTGCATGGCACATTATGGTTTGCATGGCACATTATGGTTTAGATAACAGTTTTACATGTATTATCTCATTTAATCTTCATGGGGAAAGTGGCTGATTCATTCATACACACACACACACACACAGAGAGAGAGAGAGAAAGAGAGAGAGAGAGAGAGAGAGAGAGAAAGCATGCGCCGAACTACACAGCATTGTTGACAGCACAAAATAAAGTGGTACTAAGTGAGGTACCACCCAGGAACTCCACAGATTTCTTTTGTATTCCTCTCCTGAATGTGTCCACTGCTTACATAATGCCATTCTGTACAAGACAGTCACCACATTATTTCTCTCCTTGTCTCTTGATAGAAATAATGCATAAAGCAGGAAGACTAGCTGAGTGATTCTTAACAGTCGCTTCTAGTTAAGTCCCTTCTCTGTTATTCTTCTTTACACATTACCTAAGCATAACTTTGGATGTCACTGAATTAATTTTTTCCCTAGGAAACTGCATGTCTTCAAGTATATCATTGGCTGAAAAAGGCACAAACAAAAAACGTAATCTGGTATTAAACTTAAGTACAGTGTAGCATTATGGATTCCTCCCTTCTGTTTCAAGCTCTCATGTGGTTGTCTCAGCAGCTATATGATCACTGATTTAGTCTGGGATGTAAACAGTGCACCTTTAAGGTAACCTGTGCACTCTGAAAGTGTCTATGCTAAGATTAACGTAGTTCATTAGGTTTGCGTAATTTCTTATGCTTGATGACTCATTCACAAAAATGAAAAGCAGACTTAGGATTTGGGAACCAGAATTATGTAAACCATATATCTAGTTAAAATCCCAACTCTATCTTTTTACTAGCTCTATATTTTAGTGGAAGTCTTTGAGGTATAGTTTCCTCTTCTATAGAGCAGAAAGAATACTACCGGTCCCTTAAAGCTTTGTGAAGGTATAGTACCTGGCACATAACTCTCAGTAGTTTGTAGTTGTTCATATAACAGTACCAGTAGTAATTATTCTAACTAGACATTATAAGTTTTACTTAATAATACAAAATAAAAATCACTACCAATAAAGAACTTCTGCGCCTTCTACGTCCTACCCTAAAATAATTGAACCAAACTCTGCCCTGGTTTCTGGACAACTTATGGATCAAATAATGAATCACAACATTTAAAAGCTGAATATGTATTGGGAAAGTGCTCACTCTGAATGTGGAAACATTCGATTCCAACATATGTAAGAAGGTGGATAACAATTCAGAGTATCCCTCAGGAATCTCACCAGAGAGAGATATCTTCACCACTGCCACCAAGTTTCAAGTACAGGACTCTTCCTTGTTGTAATCAAACTATTTCTATGAACAGTTCACTCACCATTGTGGGAATGTCCATCTTTCATTGTAACATGCAAACAGACAATAACAAAATTTGTGATTAGGATAATCTGGATCTGATTTTCATGCTCAAAATGGAGGCTATTCATAATACTGGTCTGAAGCATTTAGTTACTCATTGAAAAGATATGTTAGCAGCAACAGGCATGGGCTGTGTTTTTCTAGGCACTGTGAACACAGCGGCCAACAAAGTCAAAAACCTCTGCTCTTAAGGGACGTGAATTTCCAAATGGAAACACGAAGTTTCTCTATTTATGACCTAAAGCTAGTCAAATCTCTCCAGAAGTAAGGTAGCTGAGTAAAGTGACTCATGATCTTTCCATAAAAGTTAAATCCTCAGGGTTGTACCTCTTTTAGATAAATAATAGCAAAAATAAATCAAATGTTAATTAGCTTGCATCCCAATAAGCCAGTCTCCATCACTGATGGTCATCGTGGAATCTGCGTACAGAGGCAACCGTATACAGACAACAGAGGCAGTTCTAGCACGTGACACACTTCGGCACACAAAGGTGGAAAGACATAAAGTTCCTAGTTGATTTACCTTTGGTGTTTGTGGGGAAATATCAAGGTCATAAAGAGTCAGCTTCTAATAATTCCTCCAGTCCTCCATTCCATTCCCTAATTTTAATGCAATGGCATTTAACATTTTGAGTTTGCTTAAAATATAATGTGTGTTTATTTTTAAATAAATCTAGCTTTGATACAGTCAACGGAAGTCCAACAGAAAACATTAAAAGATACAAGAATAGGTATTTGAAGGTTTGGTGCCTTTCTCAGACTCTGAAAATTACTTGAATAAGATTCAAGAAAGCAATGTACTCTTTCCTGTCCTGATATAAACCAACAAATAAACAACTTCCAAAAGCCCAGCTCTACAGACATAAAACATCTGGATGCTTTAAAAAGAAATCCACATTCTTGGCAGTGTGTCCAAACTCAGAATCCAGATCTTCTGAAGTTCACACATCGCCACTGTAACAAAATGCTATCCTGTCATGATATGTCTCCGTAATATTATGTCAACATTATCTGTCCTGCAGAGCAACTCCTCAAAAAGTTGACGAGCTGAGTAGAAATGTAGTTTTATCCCATCAGGTCCTGGAATTTGATCCTATTTGTTCATTATGCACAGAAGGTACTCTATGTAATATGCTGTGCATGATGAGAATGCTTGAAAAGGTCATTGACTTAGTTCAAATAAACAAACGCCTTCTTTATAACATTCTGGCATGACAGAGAATTAGAGCAGTGAAAAGACTGTAGAGTGTAAAGAAAAAAATCCCAGGCCAGTTCAGTTTAGGTTTAGGGTAGGACTATTCTTAGTGTATTGAAAGAGGGCCTGAAAGAAG